ATTTTCCTCCTCCTACTCCTCAATCTATACAGTTATACTCGAGCAAAAAGAGGATTACAGGCAGTTTCAAAACTGATCTCTGTACGTTCAATGTAGTTTTTTTGTTGGCTCATATTTCCAATGGTTCGTGTCTCTTATATTTAGGATATATAAAAGAATATAATAGAGGAAAAATTGAGGACCTATGAATTTGAAGTAAATTGGTAATAATAATCTTAAATTCTCTTCTTCACTGCCCTTTCTATTAGCTTTTAATAGCGCCTTTTGTTAATTTCACCTTTCAATCTTATCTTGACTTTATAGAAAGGCAGCTTTTCAAAATTGAGGGGTTTTTGTGGGGCTAACATGTAATATACATTAAAGATTTGCTAAAGAAATTTAAGCTATTCAGTAGTATGTTCAACTTTTACAGGAAATGCATTAGTTTTACATGTGAAAATGCATTACTATATAACTTGTAAGTTTTATAGTTTAATGCCTACACACCCCTACTTTAAAAGAAAATAATTGCCCTTTTAAAAACTGCCATTAAGGGAAATGCTCAAAAAATACCCCAAGTCTGCCTAGTAGTTTTAACCTGCATTTTACATTTAACTTGGCAGTTTACAGAGATTAGATTCTACATTGCTGTAGCATACTTTTAGTTTGGAATGTTGAGCCAAGGGGATATTAAGTTGCTGGAAGGGACTCTGAGTACAAATAGAAAGTATTTGTATGCTAAATATCTATTGAGGGACAAATTGGTTTTACTTTGCATATAAATTTTTAAAGTTAAAAATTTTGGAAGGTGTTACGCTTTGCAGGTTACTTAAATGAGGCAATATTGAGATCTATTGTTGTATACTTGTCTAACCTGGGTTTTTTAAAATATATATTTAAGTAATTCAGATAGTAGATCTTATTTTAAGATGCTGTTAAAATCGCTGTAGTATGTACTGTTAAGGTTTATTGCCATATCTTTTTGTCTAAACAGAAAAGAACGATGTCCTTTTATTGTATGTGATTACCAAACCTCCCTCTCTCTGTATGGGATTACCTCCCTCTCTCTAATAGGATTTTTTCTTATTCGTGTCCCTTCAACACCATAATTGCCTACAGAGACTAATTCTACCAGAGATGCTGTTTCTTTTTAGACCTTTTCTGCTGTAAATTGCTCAGCTAGTGGATGAGTAGAGTATTGAAATTTAGTGTTCTTACTAAGCATGATCTCCATTCTGGACTACCTTTCTTTTATTTCAGTAATTTGACCTACCTTTGCCATGTGTTTGAGGATTCCATTCCATAATGGAATTCCCTTCTGTAAGGAGAGAATAAGTAACTGATGTAACAGAATACCATAGACTGGGCAACTTAAACAACAGAAACTTATTTCTCATAGTTCTAGAGGCTGGAAGGCCAAGATCAAGGTCCCTTGGGGTTTAGTATCTTTTTTTCTTTAACCATTCATTTATTTTTGGCTGTGCTGGGTCTTAGTTGCTTTTGTGGGCTTCTCATTGCGGTGGCTTCTCTTGTGGCTCATGGGCTCTAGGGCATGCAGGCTTCCAGTAGTTGTGGCTCCTGGGCTCTAGAGCACAGGCTGAATAATTGCTGCGCATAGGGTTAATTGCTCTGCCACATGTGCGATCTTCCGGAATCAGGGATCGAACCTGTGTCTCCTGCATTGGCACTCAGATTTTTACCAGGGGAGCTAGGGTTTAGTTTCTGTATCTTTCTTCCTAGTTTGTAGATGGTCATCTTCTCAAATCCTCATGTGACTTTTCTCTATGCTGCCACAAAGAGGTGGTGGGGTTGGGAGGAGAGATCTCTTTCTTCCTACTCAAAAAACCACTAAATCCCATCAAGAGGGCTCCATTCTCATTACCTAAGCTAACTCTTAACTTACAGAGTCCCCTTCTCCAAATACCATCACACTGGGGGGTTAGGGCTTCAGTTCAGTTCAGTCGCTCAGTCGTGTCCGACTCTTTGAGACCCCATGAATACAGGACGCCAGGCCTCCCTATCCATCACCAACTCCCGGAGTTTACTCAAACTCATGTCCATCGAGTTGATGATTCCATCCAGCCATCTCATCAAGGGCTTAGGCATACACAATTTGGGAGGAGCACAAAGTCTTCAGTCCATAACAGAATTTATACTTTTTCTCAGTGGGATTTGAGAGGAGTTACTTAAGAGTTGCTGAATTATCTTTCCCCTAGAAATATATCACTTTGTTTTAAGGTCCAAGATACTGTGGAATGAATACTAAATTACATTATGGAAGATGTAAATATATTTACTGATGACTATGGAAGATTTATGTGTATCTGCATATACTCAGTTATAGTTCCTTCCCTTGACCTTTCCTCTTAAACAGCTAGGATCCAGCTGTTTGTTTTAACTAGTCCTTCTGACATTTGGGGTTTTTTCCTGTAAACTTTACAATGCAGACTGAATGAAGCTTGCCTGTCCTTTAGTATTACAAGATCTTATGGGGCATGTGTGTGTGTGCGCTTAGTCGCTCAGTCTTGTCTGACTCTCTAGCCCCATGGAACCCGCCAGGCTTCTCTGTCTATGGGATTCTCCAGGCAAGAACACTGGAGTGGGTAGCCATTCCCTTCTCCAGGGGATCTTCCTGACCCAAGGATCAAACCCTGGTCTCCTGCATTGCAGGCAGATTCTTTACCATATAAGCCTCTAGGGAAGCCCATACTTGGCATGTTCTATAGAGGAATAAAAACTTGCTTAACTGGCACATACATTCATTTTATTTTCTTTAGTAACTGTTTTGTAATATTGATTACTGCCATTGTATAAACATCTGAAGATTACCAAAAATTATAAAACAAATGTAATTATGTGTCAACAATCTAGTTGTTTCAAAATTATATATTTATAATAGAATTTCTATAAATTCACTTTTCAAATAATAAGTATCCCCATACCACAATTTCAAGTAAAAGTTGAAACAGATATTTTTGCTGGCAATTCTAATAAGCATTTCACCGTTTTATCAGATTATTTAAAATTATACCAGTAGTTTACTAAAGTGTTTAGTAGCTTCATACACGTGTAAGAAATTAACAGCAAATTTTAAGGCAGCAAACGTTAATAATCTGAAAAAAGTAAGTTATCTCTTTCTCTGTTCTGTGATATAATTGAAATTGAATTTTTTCATATTTATGGACACACCTATATAGCCAGTTTCTTATTCTGCTTTATGTAACTGAATTGAGACAACTGAAATGTGATTTGACTTGATTGTTGCCAAGCTTTTGAATCTATTTCCTGTCCTTATGATGAAACTGTTTAATCCCCTGGAACATTATCTTACCTTTTTTTTCTTATTTTCATTAAAATTAAAAATACTTGTGACTGAAGCTACACTAAATGAGGAAATTTCGGAAAATTTAGTGTATTTTAGAGAACTCTCCCCCAAATTTTAGAAAGTTCATCTTAATTTTTTCCCTTTTTTTCACTTAAATTTATTTTGATGGTTTCTATGCATTATCTATGAAGAAGGAAATGGCAACCCACTCCAGTATTCTTGCCTAGAGAATCCCATGGACAGAGGAGCCTGGTGGGCTGCTGTCCATAGGGTTGCACAGAGTTGGACACAACTGAAGTGACTTAGCTTGCATGCATGCACTGGAGAAGGAAATGGCAACCCATTTCAGTATTCTTGCCTGGAGTATCCCAAGGACAGAGGAGCCTGGTGGACTGCTGTCTATGGGGTCACACAGAGTCAGACAAGACTGAAGCGACTTAGCAGCATCAGCATGTATTATCTAATGCCTAATTTACATTAAATATCTGCAACAAGTAAGGGTTGAGTTTCATTTTTAAATAATTGAAATAATCTTAAGGGCAAGTAGAATATAAACATACTTAGTTTTTTAACCTGTGAACATGTTTTTCTTTATGACACTGAGAATATTCCTTTCAGTTTAAGCCTTAGGTAATGGTGTAATAGACTTTATACCTCTATTATCTGCCTTACAATGAAATATACTTTCAGAGTAAATTTGAGAATTGTTGACTTTTTGAGGCAAAGGATTTTTTTTTTTTTAATTTTAGAAGATAAATCATTACGAGACAGTGCTAATGAAAAGCAGAAATATTTAAGTATAATATTCAGAAATGATCCCTATTCCATGTTGTATATAGATTTATAATGGTTACACATTTAGGCCAAGGCAATCTGTGTTTACTTAATAGTTTTTCAGAAATATTATAAAATTGGCATTTCTAGAACTTTTCACTGAAATTTGGCATGTTCTTGTCTTTTAATAGTATTTATATTGACAAAGAGCTATGTGTGTAATGGGTGGTTTTGTTTTGGTGTCTTTCTTTTAAATGTTCTAAAAATTGTATATTTTGAGACATGAAAATATCATAATTTTTAGATTAATGAATATTAAAGTAAATTCCTTTAGGATTTGCCTAGGTGCGCTCTGATGACTACAGCTCTAAATCACAGCTAGTCATATAATTTTTAAGAGTCTCTTTAAAATTGTAGTGGAATTTATCCAAAGTGATTGGTGAGATTGTACATGTGTGTTTGTGTATTCCAAATGGTGTAAGGTCTCTGAATAATCAGTAGTTCTGTGTTGTACCTTTCTTCCTCTTTTAACTATTGTGAAATATCTTCATTTATTTTGTATTAGTAAATTATTCCCTCATAAATTAAAATTTGAATGTACCAGAAATAAAACTTACAGCTCATTTTGTGTTATAAGGCAGTTTCAGACTACCTTGCAGTCATTTTTAGTTTAGACATTATAAAAATAGATTTCTTGTAGTACAGAGATTTTCATGTGGAGGTTGGTTTCTTGAAATAGGCTTTTGCCTTATCTCTCTCTATCTTTCAGGCATTGAAAAGAGCACTTTGATCTTTTAACTCAGTGGTACTTTACAATATTCTTTCCATCACTGTAAAAAAAAAAATTGGTGCATGAGTAAACATATCTTTTTTATATCACAAATAAATTGAGCTTGTTATAGTCCCCTCTCTTCATTTGCAGGAAGAGGCAGAAATCCAGGCAGAACTTGAACGTTTGGAAAGAGTCAGAAATCTTCATATTCGAGAGCTCAAAAGAATAAATAATGAAGATAATTCACAGTAAGTCATTATTTGTATTTCATAGGATTACATGATAAATGATTTTCTCCCCTTGGAGATCATAAACACAGTATTTCCTTGTTGAGGGACTTCTCATCATAGAAATAAAGTCCTTCGCATGACTCTGAAGGCCTTGTATGATCTGGTCTCAGCCACCTCACCACCCCACCTCTTTCATCCTCCTCTCACTTATATGTCGTAGATACACTGGCTCCCTCAATCACATCTCATTCCCATCTCAAGGCTCTTCTGTTCTCCATTTCTTCTGCCTGAAATGTTCTTCCTCTAGACATATGAGTGGCTTACTTATTTCACTCCAGGTGGTCATTAGAAAGGCCACCCTGTCTAAAATATCAGCCCTAGCGTTACTCCATCCCCTCTCTCAGCAGCCTTACCTTGCTTTATTTTCTCTTGGCATTTATCACTATTTGGAAATACATTTTTTTTCCAGTTCATTTATCTGTTTCCTTTCACTGGAATGTAAGCTACATGAGAGCAGGGATTTAGTTTTGTTCTTGCTATATCCCCCAAACCTAGACCCGTTTCTGGCATATGCTAGGCACAGAATAAGTGTTTGTTGACTAAATACCAAAGTTAGTGTTATAGTAGTGAAGAAGAAATCATTTGAGCTAAAGGGATTTCATTAAACCATGTATCCAGCATTGTGTAAAAACTGGAGAAGAAATAGAAGTTTAAATTATAGTCTCTATCCTTAATCCCTAATTACCAATTTTATTTAAATGCTAAAGGAATTCAAAGAGAAAATGCCTGTGGACAGGTGGCAGCTTTATGAGGAAGACAGAAATAAAGCAAGGCAGTAATTGGATTTAGTCTGTGTAAAGGACAGGAAGGATGTCTTTTTTACACTTTCAGATTTATGTACTTTAAATCTTAATGACCTAAATGAGTGTCAGAACTGAAAGTGGCCTATTTCTGCCATGAAATATCTTGCTTAAGGACTGTTTATGGTCATCTTTATGAACATAATCATTCCAATATATAAGGTAAGTGAAATAACAGTTATGGAATATACTTAATTGTACCAGATAAATTCTAACAAAGCAGATAAGTCAAAGCTAATTTACAGTTGACTGTTCTGAAAATTATGCCAAAGCTTGTTTGTGAATATGACTTAATCCACTTGATGAAAATTAAATGAATTATTATATTTCCCTTTCTTTATTTTTTTTGGCTACGTGGCTAGCAGGATTCTAGTTCCCCAACTAGAGATTGAATGTGGGCCACGGCAGTGAAAATGCTGAATCCTAACCACTGGACCACCAGGAAATTTCCTACATTTTGCTTTAAAACTAAACAGAAATCTCTGTTAATTCTCAAGAAAAGCTTAAATTATCAAAGTTGTATTGACATTGAGTAAAATACCGTGTATATTTCATATCTGAGACTATAAAACTGTTATTGGGTTTTTTCCCCCCCTTAAGAATCAAGAGTGTACATTTTGGAACCATGTTTTTCTGTGAAACCCTGCCATGTATTGGCTGTTGACCTTGGACAGTTACTTAACCTTTCTTTGCAGTAGTGCCCTCATCTGTAAAATAGAGGTAGTGGCAGGGCCTAGTTCAGAGGGTTAGTTAACAAATGAGATAATACATGTGAGTGCTTAGTGTGCAGCAGGTGTGATAAACGTTAAATAATTTTGTTTGTGGTGGGTTTTGTTTGTTTTTTTAAAGCATTTCTTTTTTGATTGGGAATTAAAATTTTATTTGCAAAAGGGAAAGACTATAAAATTTAACCATGGTTGAAAGTCAGCTTATAATTAATTTTAATCCTATGTCAGTACTATAAAACTTGATTAATTGGAACTCCCAGATAAAAGTATGTTTTCATAAGGGAAGTATTTCCTGATGAGTAGATACAGGATTTTATAAAGCTCTTAGTAATACAGTAGTTGGTAGGTCTTTATCACAGTGCTATAATTGGTCATTGAACTTTAATATTCAGCTTTATAGCTGAATGTTAGGCTTTGTGAACACCAAAGTGTTAGGATGGGTAATAGTCATGCAGGTAGAGAAAGAAGTATGGAATAGAATTCAAAACAGCAGGAAAAAGAAATAGGAGTAGAATAAGAGCACAACTGTGTTGTGGACAGAACCTTTTTTGTGTGTGTTTTCATATGCATGAGTGTTTTTTTCCCCACCCTTAAGGTTCAAAGATCACCCAACGTTAAATGAAAGATATTTATTGCTCCATCTGCTTGGTAGAGGTGGCTTTAGTGAAGTATATAAGGTAATGTACATTTTTTTTTTCTGTTCTTCACACTAATATAGCAAAGATACAGGAGTATGTGGTTAAGAAGTACATGTTTATTGTTTTTATGATTTTTTTTTGACTGGGAAATTATGTCCTCTCATTGCAAAAAGAGTCTGTGATGGCTTATGTTATCTCAAGAGTCTAAAAACTATCCTTGTGCCTTTGTAGACCCTCTGATATTTGGTAGCTGATTACCACTGACCAACCTGATACAAATAATAACAGCCATTAGAATCAAGATAGGCAGGTAGCCATTTAATACAGTACATTTATGACAAGGTTGTATCCCTTAAACATGTGTTACAAGTCCTTACATGTCCTGGATTTACCCTAATTTCTACCTATTTCAAGGCCAGTGTTTCTCAAATATATATGAATGCAGAAATTTTTACTCATCACATTTAATACTTTATACCTTACTTTTTTTTTTTGCTCTATATTGTCTTTCTGACCAACCTTTAAATAGTGTGTTCCCAAATTTCTTTATCATTCTTAAATCTCCTTTTCAAGTATATCTCCCTCCCCCTCACTGAGTTATCACCTATTTGGTTTCAGATATAGATACATAGATGCATAGCTATCTACCCACACTTCTTTCTGAGCCCCATACCTGCGGGTTTACATGACTTAAGCCCATTCACCTCATGTGGATGCTTCATAAGTACTGCAAACTCACATCTGAAATAGAAGCTTATCTTCCTCTCCTCCCACACCTTCCCCTCCCTTAAAAAAAAAAAAAACCACTGCTCCCTATTTTAATATACAGCACTGCCCTTTATCTACCCAGTTCCTTCCCTGAAAAACCTGCAGTGAATGAAGAATGAAAGCCATTTTTCACTACATCTTTCCCTTAACCCCCTTCCTCCAGCATAACCAGTCTCTGGTGTATGTCATTACTAGTGTCATTAAGCTCTCCTAAATCCAGCAAGGACCCTTCTCTCTGTCAGCTCAAAGCCTCATTGTCTCTTGTTTGCATTGCCGCTCTAATCTCCTAGCCAATCACCTTTTCCTGCACATTGAGTTTCTCCAGTCCATTTGTGTGTACGTTGCAGCTAGAATGGCCTTGTTAGAAAATGCAGTCTGATCATCTCACTCCCCTGCCTTATAAGCCCCAGTGGCTTTCCCATTTGCTCTTAGTTAGGATGAAGTTATAATGAAGGTCATAGTCTCACCTTAAACTTGAATTCCTATTGAAGGCTTCCCTATTAATCTGCCTTTTATAAGCTCTTTGTGACACTTTGAGCTTCATTATGTAAGGGTATAATCAGTGATTAAGACCTTGGGTTCTGAAGCCAAACAGGCTGAGTTTGAATCCTAATTCTGATTGCTGTTTACCAGCTGTCTAAACTTTGGCTTATTGCTTTACCATCCTGTCTTCATCTGGGACTGTTTAACAGTTATGTACATCATGGGATCATTGTAATGATTAAATGAATTATCAGGTAAATCACATAGAATTTCAGTGTTGAGTAAATGTAAGCTCATCAAATTGTTATTAGAAATCCTCTCTGTTCAAGAGACAACCTGTATCCAGTTCTGACTCTGGGGAAATGATGGGATTTGGATTCAGAGAACTAATTTCTGATCTTGGTTCAGCCATGAACTAGTTTTTGTTTTGTTAGCTTGGATAAGCATTAGTATCACCCATTAAGAGTGATCTGTGAGCCCTCTTCCACTTCCTGTTTCTTTGATTCTAATGGTAGTACATCTGGGAACTTAAGCATTGAGTAGTCTTACCCAGGCCACAAGGTAGAAAAGAAGATCACAATAGCTCACGGTGGATCTAAAATCACCATAGCTAGCACTGGCTTATCCTAAAGGTAGCCCAGCCTCTGTTGCTTCTAATTGCTTTCATGACGGTCTTCTGCCACTGCCCAGTAATATTTCCACTGTTTTTAGTCTCACAGATAGGGGCTAAAAGAGACTTTTCTCTTGAAGAAAGTCTTATGTAGAAATTAGAAAATGCAGATTGTTGGGGCTCTAATGTCTTAAATCCCTATTGTTGATTTAAATACTAATGACAGCTCCCTCTGACCCCTTCAAAGTCCTTTCATTGTTGCCATGTCCCTTGGGAAACAAAGCAGCAGATTGTAAATCAAAAAACAGACTTTAATGGTTGTGATAAAAAATAAATAAATAAAAAAAAACAGACTTTGTGGAAAATATTGAATCAGTTGCTTAGTGATTACCACCTTAGCTTTATGGGAAGGTGTACTTTGAAAGACGTGTCTTACCTTACAGTCAGTATACACTAATGGTAACTTTAGAATTTTTACTTTTTTTTCCTTCTTAATGTGATTGCTTGTACATTTTTTAATAAACCTTTTATGTTCTTTTTGCTTTCTCCTACCTGAACTTTTTTCTTTTCTGTTTGAAACTTAACTTAGCTAATGTCTATTGGGTATTTATTGTGAATCATGTATTATTTTAAACACTTTGTATGTTTCACCCCATTTAATTCTCTTCAACAACCCAAACTTTGAGACTTTGTTATCACAAAGTAATGCATCTAATAATTTTATCTGACTCCAAAGTGAATATTCTTAATTACTGCATCCTCTGTGATTTCAGGTCTCATGCTTTTATAATTTTGTGACAAGCAGTTTACCCCTCCTGCTTATTTTAAGGTTAAATTGATAGAGGGAGTGGAAGCTATGAACCTTCTTCCTAATAAATATGTAAGCTTTTTGAGTGTTTTCTTAAAGGAGCACTTTTTGTACATAAGTTACAGTAGAACCTAAACTATTAAATTTCTTTCATGATATGCAGTGTTTTAAAAAAAAAAGTCACCTGAAGCCTTAAAAAATATTTGATCATTCTTTATTAAGAAATAGGCTGATAATTTGAACAAACCAGTATAAAAACCTATCTTGAGATGAGATTAAGGAATAATTGCTGATATGGTGTGATAATTATATATGGTTATGTTTAATTTTATAATAAAAGTTTAGAACTTTAATGAACTTATTTTCAAACAAATGGGGAAAAAACATGGAGTCTATAGGAAAAGATAGAGGAAAAAGTTTGCTTCATCCAATCCACCAAAAAAGTGTTAAAGTCACCTGTTTTCCTGGCTGCTTACTGCTGCTGCTGGTATAGAAGAGAAGGTCTATGCTTTTTTTTTTTTAAAGCTTTATTGTTTTATCTTAATTCAGTATATTGGCATTTATAAAACTTGAACATGAAAATTCGCATTAAGTTTTACTCAGATTTAACATCATGAAATTTGTATCTTGTTTCTGATAATAAATGTGCCACTCAACTATAATCTTAGCAGAGATGACTACTAAAAGTAGTATATTTTGTAGTATAAAAATGTATATTCTAGTTCCATATTACTGCAAAATTATTACCCCCCCCCCCCCAAAAAAATGAGCTCTTCAGTTGGTCTCTGGTTCAAAGTCTTCTCTGTTCCTTTAATCCTAGGCTTTTGACCTTTATGAACAAAGATATGCTGCTGTGAAGATCCACCAGCTTAATAAAAGCTGGAGGGATGAGAAGAAGGAAAACTACCACAAGTAAATATTAATTCTTTGATTTTTATCAATTTTGAAAATACATTTAATGGTCATGGAGAACTAATACTCTCTCCTTCTCGTAGACATGCCTGCAGAGAGTATAGAATACACAAAGAACTGGATCACCCCAGAATAGTTAAACTCTATGACTATTTCTCCTTGGATACAGATACGTAAGTGAATGTAAACAGACTTAGTTTTTAAGAAAAGACATGTTGGCATTTGCTTCCCCTATTCTGTAGTGATGATACAAATACTCATTTTTCCATTGTGACTCTGAATTATTGGCTAATATTTTGTGTCTGATTTTTTTCTCTTCTCCATTGTAGGTTTTGTACAGTGTTAGAATACTGTGAAGGCAATGACTTGGATTTCTATCTGAAGCAACATAAATTAATGTCAGAGAAAGAAGCTAGGTCTATTGTAATGCAAATTGTAAATGCACTAAGATATCTCAATGAAATCAAACCCCCTATTATACATTATGATCTTAAGCCAGGTAATTAAATAAATTTGTCTTAAGTTTTTAAACTTTAAAGAATTATCTGAAAAATATGCTTTGTGATTTAGTTTTTAGGAGATGGTGGTATACTAGAATCTGAAGTGTTTCTAAAATTGTATCACTATATTTTTAAATTATATTTTAAATGTTTATTTTAATTAAAATTTTTACATATGTATATTAAATGTATTATTTATTTCTCCAAAATCAGCTTTCATAGTAAACATGTTTTTCATCTTTGTATCATTAAATGAACTTTGTTCTTAGGAAACATCCTCCTGGTAGATGGAACAGCGTGTGGAGAAATCAAAATCACTGATTTTGGTCTGTCCAAGATCATGGATGATGACAGCTATGGTGTAGATGGAATGGATCTAACTTCCCAAGGGGCAGGCACATACTGGTAAGTGTATTATTAAAAACACCAAAATTATCTAGGTCAGTTCCCAGTCTTTTTAAAGAGAATTTATTTTCATGTGCCTTTGAGATTATTGTGGTGTGGTAAGGGTACTGATATGCAGTCTGAGTTGAGACTGGCATCAGCTCTCTTTTCTCATCCCGTCTTAACTATAAATATCAGGAAACTAGAGGAAGAGAAATTTGGTGTCAGTGACTACCAGCCAGAAATTCCTAATGTGGAGAATTTGTGAATCTTGTTCTGTAATGTTAGAGTGATGTTTATTATGAATCAGTTCAGTTCAGTCACTTAGTCGTGTCTGACTCTTTATGACCGCATGGACCACAGCATGCCCTGTCCCATCACCAACTCCTGGAGTTAATACACAAACTCATGTCCATTGAGTCGGTGATGCCATCCAATCATCTCATCCTGCCCTCGATCTTTCCCAGCATCAGGGTCTTTTCCAGTGAGTCAGCTCTTCGCATCAGGTGGCCAAAGTATTGGAGTTTCAGCTTCAGTGTCAGTCCTTCCAGTGAACACTCAGGACTGATCTCCTTTAGGATGGACTGGTTGCATCTGCTTGCAGTCCAAGGGACTCTCTCTAGAGTCTTCTCCAACACCACACTTCAAAAGCATCAATTCTTCGATCCTCAGCTTTCTTTATAGTCCAACTCTCATATCCGTACATGACTACTGGAAAAACCATAGCCTTGACTAGACGGAGCTTTGTTGGCAAAGTAATGTCTCTGCTTTTAAATATGCTGTCTAGGTTGTCCATAACTTTCCTTCCAAGGAGTAAGCATCTTTTAATTTCATGGCTGCAGTCACCATCTGCAGTGATATTGGAGCCCAAAAAAATAAAGTCTCTGTTTCCCCATCTATTTGCCGTGAAGTGATGGGGCCAGATGCCATGATCTTAGTTTTCTGAATGTTGAGCTTTAAGCCGACTTCTTCACTCTCCTCTTTCACTTTCATCAAGAGGCTGTTTAGTTTTTCTTCACTTTCTGCCATAAGGGCCGTGTCATCTGCGTATCTGAGGTTATTGATATTTCTTCCAGCCATCTTGATTCCAGCTTTTGCTTCATGCAGCCCAGCGTTTCTCTTAAGGTACTCTGCATATAAGTTAAATAAGCAGGGTGACAATATACAGCCTGGACATACCCTTTCCCGATTTGGAACCAGTCTGTTGTTCTGTGTCCAGTCCTAACTGTTGCTTCCTGACCTGCATACAGAGTTCTCAAGAGTCAGGTCAGGTGGTCTGGTGTTCCCATCTCTTTCAGAATTTTCCACAGTTTATTGTGGTCCACATAGTAAAAGGCTTTGACATAGTCAATAAAGTAGAAATAGGTATTTTTCTGGAACTCCCTTGCTTTTTTGATGATCCAGTGGATGTTGGCAATTTGATCTCTGGTTCCTCTGCCTTTTCTAAAACCAGCTTGAACATCTGGAAGTTCACAATTCACATATTGCTGAAGCCTGGCTTGGAGAATTTTGAGCATTACTTTACTATGAATAATAATACTTAATATTATCATCTTAGCTATTAAAAGCAGTATTAAGTCCTCTCTGTACAGGTTTTGTGGTTACAGTTTTTATTTGAGATGGATGTTTTGTTGTCATGAATGATAAGAGAAATTTGGTACAATCTTCGTCTTTTGGACTTGAGTCTAAATGAATGTCATTCCTTCACAGTTACCTGAGTGTTGACAAAAATTACTTCATTGTGAATTTTCAAACTTATTTTCAAAAAAAGTTTAGTTTTCAGAATGAATGAATTTAGCAAAAGGAGTGAAATCTTAATTGGAAGGGAGATAGCTGTACAGGATGGTGATTACAAACATACATGTGACTTTAGGGTTTGTAGAACATAGTTAGCCTGGGCAGTAGAAAATGCTACAAGTTTGTATGCATTTTTACTTTTCAGAACAGGATTAGTCATATCCATGTATTCATGTAAAGCCATTTTAGAGTTTTAAAATTATGCTTGTGGCATTTTTTTAGGAATATAATGCAGTATGTCATAGATTTTTTAAATATATATTTAAAGAAAATCATTCAAACTGGTAACTCCTTGAAGGTCAGCACCCTGAATCAGTAAGTAATCTTGAGACTTTTTTTCTTTTAGCAACAAGACTCCTTTTTTCATCACAAAATCTTAGAATCCTAGTTGCTTGGTAGAACCCTATATTCTGTGGAAAGCAGCTTGAAACCATGTTCTAAGTAATAGGTAATCCTTTGCAGAGACGCCCACATGCTGTCTCCCTGGCAGATGGGCACCAGGGACGCTTATGTTTAGGGTGCTCTACAAGAGACACAGTCATGGCATTTCCATGTTAGGAACCTGGAATTACACTTCTTATAGAAACAGTGTTTCCCAAAATGGTTAGTTTCTAGTCATATTAGTTTTTTAAGGTATGTATTTGGTAAACAATGTCCTATACAAACTTTTAGAATATGTGTCATGGTGCCTTTACAAATTGCCTTTCATCCCCTAACTGTCAATATCACTTAGAAGAAAGTGAGTTTTATTTCTTCCTCCGTCTCAGGTTTCAAATGCAAGCATTCACTAAATCCTGCTGGTGATTTTTCCTGAAAAGCTTTGGTTCTGTTCCCATACTCTGTCTCCTTGCTTACACCCTTTTACCTTGAGGGACAGCATAGCATTGTGTTTAAGAGCCATTCTTGTTTCAGTTACACACATGCATAAGCCTACAGAAACTACATACTTTTCATAGAACAAACCTGCCTTTTTACTTGATTTGGAGGGTAGGAAAGGATTACATCACATACAAGTTATCGGTCATCTGTGAACATTCTGCTGAAATTTAAGTGATTTTAGCATAGTGAGTATAAAATAAAAAACAATAGATTCCCATTTAGCTGTATTACTGCTTTTCAGGACTTTGTAGTTTATCCAAATTTTAGACGCGGGGAGATGCTTGCATCCTGGTGGAGCTGTTTACTTAAATTTATTTGAAAGGTAAAAGTAAATATTACAATCTGTTTTTATTTTGTCTAAAATTATGACTTTATAAATTTAAAAAGTATTTTTGAATGCTCCATATATTTCTGCTACTGCTACCATTCAAAACGGCACAAAGATTAATGAATTAATGTAACAGAGGTCCCTGGAGGGAAGCAGAGAGGGCGGTCACCATGTCAAGTGAGTATGTTAAGTCACTTCAGTCCCGACTCCTTGTGACACTGTGGACTGTAGCCTACTAGGCTCCTTTGTCCACGGGATTCTTCAAGCAAGAATACTGGGGTGTGTTGCCACACCCTTCTCCAGGGAATCTTCCCAATCCAGGGATTGAACCCCCCATCTCCTGCATTGCAGGCGGATTCTTTAACCTCTGAGCCACTGAGGAAGCCCTAACTGGGGTAAAAGCAAGCATAAAAGGTTGTTATATTCAGAAGCATATGGAGAAGCACAGTGTGGGGACCAAATGAATTGGCCGGTTTGACCGAAGAAGGCAATGGCACCCCACTCCAGTACTCTTGCCTGGAAAATTCCACGGATGGAGGAACCTGGTGGGCTGCAGTCCATGGGGTCGCGAAGAGTCGGACATGACTGAGCGACTTCACTTTCACTTTTCACTTTCATGCATTGGAGAATCCCAGGACGGGGGAGCCTGGTGGGCTGCCGTCTATGGGGTTGCAGAGTTGGACACGACTGAAGTGACTTAGCAGCAGCCTCAGCCAGTTTGAGGGGGTCAGGGGAAGAGATTTTGGAAATTTAAGTTGCTTCTAGACTAACGTCTTTTGTTACAAGCAAGAGATACAAGGTCTTACCTTATTAGTGAGTGATGCTGAGGTTCTTTAAACAAAAGAACTGGCTGATCAGTTGTGTGTTTTAGGAAGAGTGAACACTGGTGAAGAGGGGGATAGGAAGTTTTTTCCTCCTAGTGGATACTTACTCAGATTAGAACATTGTAGTTTCTAATGATAATTTGTCATTTCTATAGATAATACACATTTATAATTGACCCTTGAACAACGCAGGGATGAGGGGCACCAGTCCTATACACAGTCAAAAATCTGAGAGTAAGCTTAAAGAGTTGCCCTTCATATACATGGTTCCTCCAAAGGCCCGAAACTCACCCAACCAGGGATTGTGTAGTGCTGTAGTATTTACTATTAAAAAAAATCCTCATGCAAGTGGACCCATGCAGTTCTAACCTGTGTTGTCAAACGGTTAACTGTATCTTATACACTTTATCACAAAGTTGTTTGTTTTGGCGCTAGAGTCAGATGATACAAATGCTTTAAAAGTTTAGGACATCCATCAATGTATGGATAAAATGAAAGTTCTAAGATTTTACATATACAAGTTTAAGTTATAAATTGTTAATATCCTTTCCTTTTTTCTGCCCCGCCCCAAACTAGGTATTTACCTCCTGAGTGTTTTGTAGTTGGAAAGGAACCACCAAAGATTTCCAACAAGGTTGACGTGTGGTCAGTTGGAGTCATCTTCTTTCAATGTCTTTATGGTAGAAAGGTAAGTTAAAATATAGCAGATTCAGCTATATGGAGAGAAGTTGTGTTTTCTCTTCTTGAAGTTTCATTAATTTGAAGTCAATTTAGTTAAGAATTCCAAGAATGGAGACCTAGTTGAGGCAGGAACAACCATTTATTTGAGGTTAGGAACAGCCTGGGAAGCAATAATCCAAGAAAGCACTTGAACTGTGTTGCAGCTCTACACAAGAGAGGAGTGCATATAGGCAAAAAACTGCAAGGTTACATAAATTGTCAAGAATTAGGATTGGAGCTGGCCAGAAGTAAGGGTGCTGTTTATATAGTTGCAAAGGGGGGGTGACTTCTAAACTGCAAGGTTGCAGCTAGCGTTTGCTAATTGGTTTTGAAAACAACTAGTAGTGTCCCTTGGTTTGATACAGTTTGGAAAACTCAGGTTTTCTGTGATGCAGGAATGTGTCTGAAACCACATCCACAATGGCTACCCAGCTCCATTTTGGATGCCTGAACCATAGTTACCATTTTTTTTTTTAGGTGATCTTAAATATGTCATCACTTACTAAAATTTTCATGGATCAGAATTACTTTAACGTCACATCAGCTTAACACCACTAATGTTTTTGTAGCATTAGGAATAATGGAGTGAAAACTGTTTTCTTCACTTTCTCACATCCTCTACCCCATTCTCCCCCAGCCCCCCAAAACACACACACATTTGGCCTGAGCATGTTTCGTGCTGTGCTTCCTCAGGGAAATTCCATCAAACTTAGTCCTAATGTTTCTCAAACCTCTCTTTATATTGAAGTCAGAACTACAAACTACCATGGATATCTAATCCTTATCCCCTTCATCAGTGTGAAAAGTGATCCAGGGACCTGTCTGGGAATTCACTGCATGTTAGGACCAAACCCAGAGCTGTTTGATTTAACTTAATTTGTCATGCTCAAGGTGTTTTACTCTGGACTTTTCACAGATGTTTCCACTGTTCAAGCTGGTTTGAACTGTATCAGACTAAAGGACACCACTAGCTGTTTTCAAAACCGTATCTGCTAGCAGGCGCCAGCTGCAACCTTGTAGTTTCTTCTACTAAGTAGTAGTTCTTAAACATTTTAAACATTCAGAATAAAATATTTAATGTTTTCATCTTAATTGCTTATTTATAGTGTTTTGGCTATGTTGAGGATTGATCAGATGGTCTTTCTCAGCCTGCTGTCAATTATAGCCTATGAGAATACATCCAACCTACAAGTAGCTAAGATTTTTTAAAGCACAAATCATTTGTACTGCAGGGATTTAGTGATAATATCTGTTCAAGTATTTTGTGAGATAAATTTCTCAACATTTTATTCATTTCTTTTAAAGCCATTTGGTCACAATCAATCTCAGCAAGACATTCTTCAAGAAAATACAATATTAAAAGCCACTGATGTCCAGTTCCCTGTAAAACCTGTTGTAAGCAGTGAAGCAAAGGTACCAAATTTATGTAAATAAATTTTGTGAAATAATTTTTTATTTCATAAGTTGTAGTTAAGACAAAGTAAACATTTGTTAATAAGTAAAGCAAAAGGGACTGCAGCCACAGGCAAGTCTATCCAATAGGGGCTGGTGATTTGCTCTGGAAAAGAACTGCTTAGGCCTTTGGTTGTGATGGTTTTTAAGGACCCAAATATAGTCCATGATTTCTTTTAAGAAGGCAGGCTAAGGAGACCATAATCTATTATTACATTTACATAAAGTTCAAAAGACACAAAACTCAACTATGGTGTTTAGAAGTCAGATAGCTATTATTCCAGTAGACTGGGGCAGAGGCAGTGCCCATGACCAAAAGTGGGCATGAAGAGTCTTAGGAAGTTCTGATAAAGTTATTTTTCTTGATTCATTTGCCAGTTATATAGCTATATTCATTTTGTGCTGTATGCTCAATAGGGAGAAAATATTACAGCAAAAAATGGCATCATTCTCTTGGCCAAACTAAATTAACAGTAAAGTGGAATGACTGTTTTACAGGAGACAAATTTCAGAAAAAGATGACTCTGGAGTTTTGTAGGGAGAAATGCAGCACTCCATATTCAACACAGTTTACAGGCATACCCCAGAGATAACGTGGGTCCATTGCAATAAGATGAACATTGCAATAAATGAGTCACACACTTTTTGGTTTTCTGGTGCACATGTAGTCTATTAATTAGTGCAGTAGCATTATACCTAGAAAAAAATAATGTACATACCTTAATTAAAAATACTTGCTTGCTAAAAAGGGCTAAATAAACATCATCTGAAACTTCAGCCAGCCTTTTTGCTGGTGGAGGGTCTTGCCTTGCTGTTGATTGATCACGGTGGTGATGCTGAGGCAGTATCACATTGATGGGACTCTTCCTTTCATGAACAGTTTCTCTGTAGCATACAGTGCTTTTGAGAGAAGTTCTACTGTGAGTAAAATGATTATAAAATTGAGTCAATCCTCTCAAACCCTGCCACTGCCTTATGAAACTAAGTTTATTTAATATTCTGAATCCTTTGTTGTCATTTCAGCAGTTAAACTTGCGGTCTTATATGGGCACAGTTCATGGCATCCCCCAAACAATTACAGGAGTAACAAGTCACTGATGACCACCACAAATAAAGTCATGATGCAAAGTCAAAACCTGCTAGGATTACCAAATGTGACAGAGTGAGCACATGCTGTTCGAAAAATAGTACCAATAGGTTTGTTTGACGCAGGGTTGCCACAAACCTTCACTTTGAAAACAAAAAACAAAAAACACAGTATTTGCAAAGTGGAGTAGAACAAGGTATGCCTGTATTGGAAGTCCTAGCCAGAACAATTAGGCAAGAAAAAGAAATAAGAGGCATATAAATCAGAAAGGAAGAAGTAAAACTGTCACTATTGGTAGACAAGGGTTTTTATATATAAAATGATACTAAAGATGTAGACCAAAAAAGTGGCAGCAAGGACTCAGATATTGTATACCAACATTCACAATAAGTCAACCAACAGATAAATGGGTAAACAAAATGTAGCATATACATGCAGTGGAATATTAGCCTTAAAAAGGAACGAAATTCTGATGCATGCTACAACATGGATGACTTGAACATCATGCTAAGTGAAAGACACAAAAGGTCGACTATTGTATGATTCCACTCACATAAGGTGCTTAGAATAGCTAAATCATAAAAGAACATACTGGTTACCAAGGGCTGGGAGAGGAAGGAGTAGGGAGATATTGCTTAATGGGTACAGATTTCAGTTTTAGATGATGAAAAAGTTCTGCAGATGGATAGTGGTGATAGTGTACTGCAGCATGAGTGTACTTAATGTCACTGAATTGTATACTCGGGTTAAAAATGCTCATTTTTATGTTATGTATATTTTAATCTCCATAAAATTTTTTTGAAACAAAAGAAATGCAGCTTTCCAGCAATAAGTAGTAGCAGTAATATTTGGTACTGTGAACTACTAGAGAGTTGAGACATCATCTGTAGTATTCAGTTGATTAATACTTAGAAGAGATTTTAATTGCTGACTTTTTTTTTTAAGGCCTTTATAAGACGCTGTTTGGCATACCGAAAAGAAGATAGGTTTGATGTGCACCAACTGGCAAATGACCCCTACCTTCTTCCACACATGAGAAGATCCAATTCTTCAGGCAACTTACACATGGCTGGGCTGACCGCATCCCCCACACCCCCTTCTTCGAGCATAATTACTTACTGACTTTCCTCCAAAATCGGCATGTCGTCTTTGAATCGCTTCCAGATGCACACTTGAGTTTGAGAGCTTTTGAGTGTTTTTGTTGTTTTCTTTTTTACACAGGATATGATTGAGAACTGTTTGTGAACTGAAGTTCTTCATAGAAGTTGTATAGAGTGGATCATGGACCCTGAATAAATGTACACCTCTGACTGTAACTTTAAGCAGTGAAGGGTGACTGCCTGTTGCAGAGAAACAGGAATACCATGTTAAAGAAAAGTGGTTTTTGTTGGGGAGGGGAACACTGTAAATAACGTTTATAATACTTCAGTAGATTTGGTTGTTACTCGAGAGTTCTAATATGAAGGGTAGTTTTTCATTATTTAAAAACACATGGAAAATGAGACATATCTCTAACACAAGAACTATACAGTGCCTGGATACATTATTCAGCATTCAGCAGTTATCTGCTGCAACCAAAGTAAGAACGGAATGACGCTGACAGTTGTATTTTACAGTAGCAGGATGTGAGAGAATCTTTGGGCAAAGTTAGACTTTGTCATTTGCCTGTTCTGGCTTTTACCAGGTTGTACCTCGAAATCACATGTCCGCTCTTTTCACTGGTTATGTTAAAGGGAGAACTGTTCCTAGATACTTCAGGCCTTTGACAAAGTGCACTGCTTATTTTGGAATCAATTGAAGTCACTAAATTATGGTATTTCCAGTGTTCTCAACATGTTAGAATTGTTAACAGGTATTTTTATTTTGTTACCAGGCCTTGTTCATTCAAACAAGTGACAATATGTAACCAAATGCAGACCAGTTCTATGCAGGATAATGATAAATTCCCTTCTAGCTCTATTGTAAATTGTTGTACAGATGTCATATTTCAACTAGCAAGTTTCAGCAGCTTATTCTTGTACAAATGTTTAAAAATATGGCTTTTCTAATTGGATATTGTATTTTTTTTAAGTCTTCTTGAAGGCGCTTTAATTGCTGCTAAATGGTGTTGCTTCTTTGCTTAAAAAAAATCAGATGACCTCCTTAAAAGGTGCAAGTTGGACTGTACATCATAGAAAGATCATTAAAAGCAGGCATTTGTTAACAATCAAGGCATGAAAAAATGATCCATGTTGGACATAAAGAGTTCTTGAAATCAGTTTCTTGATTTCTAGGGCTGTGGGAGCACATATATAATAGATTTATAAGTTGTTCATGGTAATTCTACATTTCTAGCAGGTTCTAATCAGCAAGGTGGGATGACAGTCCCTTAAACAAGTTTCTTGTGGTTTGTACAGATTTGTTAAAATGTGAACATTTCCTAACTGCCTTGTATGGTAGAAACCGTTATTTTCAGGATGCTGTATTTCACTCCTTTAAGAAATTTCTTTATCATCACATTCATAATGCTGATTCTTACATGTAAATTGTCCATGTTGCTGAAAAAGGAGGCTATGTTTAACACAGATTCTCCTTAATATTGTACAGTTAATGGTGGCTCTAATTTCTGATATTGCAAGCCATTTTGTTCTTTCATTGTACATAGACACATTGTCTCTTTAAGATGCTGCTGAAATTGTAGAGAATGTAGCCAAAACAGTAATAAACAATGACAGTTAAAATTTAAAGACTATGAAATTACATTTGAAGGGAGCTTTCAAGACTTAGGACATTGACTGGGCTCCTTTATTTAAGAATCAGCTGACTAAATTCTTGAAGTATACTTCAAGATAAGCATGAAGGGGTTTCAAGCTGTTAAAGTATGCCTAATAACCATTATCAAGGCTAATCCTAGGTAAGTAACACTTAGCCCTATTGGGAATGGCTTAAGGGCTGTACCTGTTCTCTGTAGATCAAGATAGAAATCCTATTTAAAAAAATACTGACATAAGTAATGGAATGCTGGCATTAGTTGAGTGCTTTAGGTGCTGTCTGCAAATTTTTCAGTTTTGTTGTTTGCGTTTTCATTCTTCTGAAATGTTCATTATAGTAACTGTTATTTAAAGTCCCCAATTAAAATACCCAGTTTTGTTTAAAACTTCAGTGAGGTATATAAGTGGATGTCTACATCTAACATGAGATTGAAGAAGAGGTATAGACTTAGATCACTGGCCTTTATCATATTATTTTCAAATAAATGGAAATGACTGCTACTGTCAAAATGCAAAAAAAGAAGAGAATAAGCCATAAAATAAAATTGCTTCCCTGGGCTTAGGTAACCATCTGTTTAGAATCCAAGGTGTGTAAGTGATAAGCCAGCTTTTAGACCCTCTATTCCTCTTAAAGTTTTTCCAAAGAAATGACACAGCTTTGGGATAGTATGTCCCTACCCCAGCAAGTACAAGATGCTAACTGAGCCAAAGTGAGAACTGTTACCTTTACCTGAGACACTAGTATTTATCACTGATTTCAGTCATGCTGGTAATCTTTTACTCCAATTAGCTTTTGAGGCTTAAATTGTTTTTTGTTCTCCTAAATTCTGTCCTCAGAATTAAAGCATTTCCTTTACCCTTAGACAGTAGTCAAGGTCTCCTCCCTTTAAGAAGCACTGCAAGGTAAATGTATAGTTTCTGCATATAATTTAAAATATTTCTCTGATATGAATTAGCTTTAGTGCATGCATGCCGAGAGGAAGTAAGTGTAGAAACCACACTAATTTATTAAGTCTGCAGTTGGGTAGATACTTGGTTGTTTTTCAAAAATAAAGTTTTAAGACTATTTTTTACTCACTGGCTGTCATCCCCCTCTCCTAAAAAAATAATTTTCAATTTAAATGGTACATAAAATGTGAGCAAATACTTCTACAAATACCTCATTACATGAAACCAAAATGGTAGAATTTCAGTGAAACAAATTTAAAGAATATATTGTGTGTTTTGCTGTTGATTGTTACTTATTAAATACAGTAATGCTGATTACCATTAGATGTTACTAGCTATGTTTTGCAGCCGTAGTGCAGACTGCCCAGGCCTATTAGATTGTGAGTTTACTTTTAGAATTTACATTACAAAAGGCAGACTTACACTTAAACACATTTTAACATCACACTGGCACGTCTGAAAATAATCCCACTTTAAATGTTGACATGTTATCTGATCATTTTCCTCCCAAATATACTAAACTTTAATGTTCTTAGGGCTTAATTTATTTTAAAAATTATTTTAGCAACTAGCTTTAAAATAATTATTAGAATTCTAGTTCTTGGGTTTCAGGAATTCTGTAAAAGTCTTAGAATTTCTACAACTTTCTGTTGATTTGAATTACAACATACATATCTCCACCATTTACCTTCCCCTGCTTTCATTTCCCTCCTTTTTTTGAAGATTCTTCTCATTGAGAATTCTTGTATTTTTGAATGGGAACGATTTGAGTAAATGTGTATAGACTAACTTCAGAACAACTGCATAGGGCCAGAGGAGAACTCAGGGGAGTTATCTTTCATTAGGATCAAAATGCATAGTTTTCACCTGGAAATTCTCACTCATTTAACATACTGGAAATGTGTATTACCTACATACATATGACAGTTTTAAAAAGGCAATAGCAATAGTACTGGTTAAGAACCCAGTTTATAACCAGGTTCTTTGGGTTTAAATGTTGACTGCCATTTACTGCCACTGTGTCTCAAGTTCCTCATCTGAAAATGAGGATAACAGTACCTACCACACAAAGTGGTTGCAAGGAATAAATGAGTTCATGCACATAAAGCACTTAGAACCACATCCAGCTCATTGTAATACCATGTGTATAAAGCTATTATTCTCATTTAAGACTCAAAGGTTACTCTGTTGCTTTTATCCTACATATGTAGTCCACCTTGCTTCCTGTGAAATCCTATTTTCCCCTTAAGAAACAAGTTCTATAGTATTTTTTACTTGTTTTAAATGATTAGATTACCTGAAAAGGGAAGGTGGTGAAGTATAACAATAGCAACAAAAAGTAACTTTGTCTCAACTGTAGTTACCAAAAGGATCACACTAACCATTTAGGCTATTTAATCAGAGGAAATTCTACCATACATCCCAGGGTTTTCCTTGATAATACAAGTCATCTGAGGTAGGATAGGTGCTATTATATCAGTTTTACAGAGGAGAAACATTTGGAGAAAAGAAGTAACTTGGTAAGACCACATTAACTAGTAAATGACATCAGTTCTTACTATGCTAACACCTTGCTTCTTTGTTAGAACACATTAGTGTGTTAAATCATGATTGTTCAAAATAACAAAAATGAACAGATACAAATATGACTATCACCATGAAAGAGCAATATAAAGAATTCTTCAGTTGTTAGATCAGGAATGCTGTCTGAGCTGTGCCCAGATGGCTGAGAGTCACTTGAGAGAGGGTTTTTTGTCCAGACTCATCCTAGGCAAGGCAGAGAGTGGGTCACAAGCCTTTTCCTATTCTCACACTTGTTTTTCATTGCATTTTAAATTTATTAATAACTGATCAGGTTAACTTACAGGGATCAGTTCACCTTTCTCATCCTCAGTCAACTTTCATGAAGGTTTCTGGTAGATTCTGCTTCCTCTCCCTGCAGTGGTACCAGTTGGTCTCAGAAGAAACCTGGAAAAACTGATTACTAAGTAAAAAACTTAAAGTCTTACAGATCTAATGAAATTACCCATGAATGCTGCTCCAGTGCCATGATCACAAGTGAGTAATCCTGACTGCAAGTGCTCTTGAATTTTTTAAAAGCCTGCTATATGGTCCATTTTCATCTGAAGAACTTAGGCTGTTCCCATAGCCAGATACCTAAGCTAAAGAGTAGATGTGCATGACCAGCACTGTCCTGTTCTTAATATATGGTATATTTGGTTTAAATACTTTTTATATGAGAGAGAATGATTTATTTCTAGGATATGACAAACTTAGATTCTAAAACTATGGCAAACTTAAAGCTTCTAAAACTACCTGATCTAAAGAATGAGTATGGCTGATATATGTCATTCATATTGATCCTATTTCATCTCTTTATGCCTTTGGTCTGCTGATGACCAAATTCATAACCTCCTTTTAAGG